AAAAAAAAAAAAAAAAAAGCCACTCACAAGTATCAGGTGTTGGTATTGAGTTTTGGAGTTAGAAAAGACCTCAAGTCGTCCATCCCAACCCCTCTGATGTTTGTGTCCTTCCACCTGCCCAGAGAGGGCTGGCATCCATGCCCATATTTGGGAACACTAGGAACACACCTAGGAACCTCAACCCAACACAGGTGCCCCACCCTAAACACTAATTCTGCTTCATTCTTAACAAATCTAAGCTTTGCGATGAGGAAACCAGACATTTTTAAAAGCAAATTCGAGACTGCTCAGTCTTTACTTAGAACGTGAACATACCTATTCCTTTGGGGAACAAATTGTTGGGGCACTCTGATTTTTAAAACGATAATTTCAAATAAATAAATGGCAGAGAACAGACAAATCTCCTATTCAGAAGAATCTCCTGCTCAGAGCATGCTCTGCCATCAAGAAAGGAGAGCATAACCCCGCACTCCCTGTGTGGGGGCTGCACTCAGTGACTTCCAAAGAGGCCAGTACAGAAGGGGAGGGGGACAGCTAACTTTCAGTGGAGAAATGACAAACATTACCTCCACCGGGACGATCAAGGTCCACGTCAACATGGACCAATAAGTCATGTTGGTAGTATGTGCCCCGATGGGATGTGATGAGGATGGCACTCGACCCCTGTGGTCTTCCCCCCCGAACACTCACAACCCCGGTCTAATCGTGAGAAGAACGTCAGATGACATTTGTTACACGTTACAAAGTACCTAACCAGTACTCAAAGCTCGCAAGGCCACCAAAACCAAGCAAAGTTAGAGAAACTGTCACAGCCAAGAGAGGCCTAAGGGACCTGATGACTAAATGTAACATGGGGTCCTGGAACAGAAACAGGACGTTAGGGGAAACTAATGAAATCTGAATGAAATATGGGCTTCAGTTATTTTTAATAATAGCAATAACAATAATAATTTTTAAATAATTTATTTTTTAGTGTCTCTGTTATGTGAAGATTTTAAAATCCTGAGGACTGACAGTGAGTGCTGAGTGTGCAAAATCAGTGCTCACTTAATGCTGGAAGCTGGGAACCTTGGGGAGACAGACTGGCTTTAACTGTGCCCTTACCCCCTCTCACTTACTTCTGGAAAGTTACTTGATCTCCCTGGGCCTCCAGTTTCTCATCTATAAAATGGGGATAATAATAGCTTGTTTGTATCAGTTCAAGGAGGATTCAATGAGAAAACATAGCACACCTAGACTTGGCACGTAATAGATGTTCAATCAGTGTTAATCACCTTCTCCACTCTGCTCACTCTTCTGCCTTTAAGAAGGTCTACGTTTTTGTAAAGAAAGCACACAGAATTTGGAATCAAAAAACCTAGATTCTTGGGGTACCTGGGGGGCCAGTGGGTTAAGCATCCAACCCTTGATTTCGGCTTGGGTCACGATCTCATGACTCGTGGGATCGAGCCCTGCGTCAGGCTCTGCGCTGACAGCAAGGAGCCTGCTTGGGATTCTCCCTCTCTCTCCCTCTCTCTCTCTCTGCCCCTCCCCCACTCACATGTATGCACACTCCCTCAAGAGTAAATAAATAAAAAAAATTTTTTAACCCGGATTCGAGTATCTAGCTCTACCAGTTACAAGCTATGAGACTCAATTTACTGAATAATCTGAATTTTCATTTCTTCATCTTATACCTGTTTTTATCCTTGATTCCTTGCATGGTGTCCTATCCACAGCAGGTGCTTCATGTCTGGCAATGACGGCAGAGAGTCTCAAATCTATATCTTTAGTATTTTATGTTCACACACACACACACACACACACACACACACACACACACACACCAGGGTGCTTCTCTTGCCTTAGGATCTGACCATCCTGAGTTCAAATCTCACCCTGCCACTTACTACCAGCTATGTAAAATTAGGCAAGTCTCTTCGTTTTTAAACTTGGGCTAACCTCTACATCATAGAGTCCGTGTGAAGATTAAATAGGACCAAACTAGGCGATGTATGTGATCGTGCTCAGCACCACAATAGATCGTCATAGCTTATAGTCTCCACCCTGCCTCGAACGTGCCGGTAGCTTCTCTCCCAGACTGCTTCCTTCTGCCCCGCATCCCCCAGACTGCCCTGCCACTGTCAGCATTGGCCTTCTCCTGAGCACTAGATGGAAAACGCATTTCAGACAGCCCTTATCTTCGTCCCCAAACCTAGTCAGGCAGTCGCCACATGTGACGCTTTTCCTTTGAAGAGTCACATGTGCTTCCTTTCCCTGCCTTTTCCATGCCCACCATCTTTATACCAGGCCTTACATCTGGATTACTCCAGCAAAGTTTCTTTCATTCTTTTTTTTTTTAAGTTTTTATTTTTTTAATTTGAGAGAGAGAGAAGCTGTGAGCAGCGGAGAGGCAGAGAGAGAGGGAGAATCGTAAGCAGGCTCCGCATCATCAGCACGGAGCCGGATGCCGGGCTTGAACCCATGAACCACAAGTTCATGACCTGAGCCGGAAGCCCGATGCCGGATGTAACAGACCGAGCCCAGTTTCTTTCATTCTTGTAGTCACTAGATGTTATTACACACCTATCAGGAGCCAGGTCCTAGCCAATCTCCCCAACTCCAGTCTCCCTTCCACTCCATCTCATTTTATCATTGCCAGATTCACTGATCTGGCTTAACCACTACCTCTATCCTGACAGCTCGGAAAAATTTAGTAGCTCTCTAATCCCCACCACGTCTAGTCTAAATTATTTTGCCTGCCTGGGAGCGCTTGGGTGACTCAGTTAAGCGTCCGACTTCAGCTCAGGTCATGATCTCATGGTCCGTAAGTCCGAGCCCCGCTTCAGGTTCTGTGCTAACAGCTCGGTGCCTGGAGCCTGCTTGGGATTCTGTGTCTCCGTCTCTCTTTCTGCCCTTCCCCCGCTTGTGCTCTCTCTGTTTCTCAAAAATAAACATAAAAAAAAATTAAAAATAAATAAGTAAATAAGTTTGCCTGTCTTTCTAAAACCTTCAATATTCTAATCTTGCCATACTTATCCACCTTTGTTTCCACCGACCCCAACACGAATTCCCCTCTCCAATCAGGCTGTCCTCCTCCTTCTCCCAGGAAAATAGCATACTCCTTGCTGCCTTCAGGCCCTCCTACATGCTGTTGCCCTCAGCTAGAATGCCTGTCCCCTCCCTCAGTCGCTGTGAACCTATGACTGCAGCCTTCTGCTCCCGCAAAACCTATCCTGACCACTTTGGTCCTCACCAGTGTCTCGCCTCTTCCTACTCATGGGCGGTCAGACCACATGGGGGGCTTGTTGATATCTCATTAAGTACCATTCAGCGTTTAAAACTGCTCCTACATGGTTGAGGGACCTTACATTTGCCACATGTGCACATACCATCTCCCTGCCTCCTCTCAGCAGTTCCGCAATGACAGGAAATTAGGGAATAATTTTTACACATGTGAAAGCTCAGGCTCAGAGAGGTGGAGGGACTTGGCCAGGGCCATCCAGCACATCAGCCACAGTGGTGGAGGGCTGGCTTTTGGTTTTCGCTCTCTGAGGCCAGCACCAGTCCAGGGCCCCGTGGCTGCCGATACTGTCCCAAACATGTTCCATTAGCAACACATGTGAGCTGACCAGAAATCCTGGTTTTCTCAGGAATGCTCCTCCACTGGTCTGGCTTAATGCTCCTCCTGCTGCTCTGGCTTAATTACTAATATTATCCCCTTTGACTCTCAAAAGTATCTTGGTTTGAGTGATCACTGACGTGGTCACCTGAGCTGTATGATATGCCGAGAACTGGTTTTCAGTAAATGCTTGACCGAATGATTGTGCGGAGGTGCTGATGTCTACTTCTCTGATCCCCTTTATTTTGCTCAGCTCTATGACCTGATGACTATGGCTTTCAAACACCAAGTGTTGCTGTGCCCCCGCCCCAAGGATGTGTTGCTCGTCACTTTCAATCATTTAGATGCCATCAAGGGATTCATCCAAGACTCCCCAGCCATCCTGCATCAAGTGGAGGAGATTTTCCGGCAGCTGACTGAAGTAAGAGGTCACCGCCAGTTCATCATCCCCCAGCCCTGTTCTTGTTCTCATTCCCCCTGATAAGAACAGTTGGATTCTGGGGCTCCTGGGTGACTCAGTCAGTTAAGTGTCCAACTCTTGATTTCGGCTCACATCATGATCTCACTGTTGTGAGTTCGAGCCTCACGTCTTTGGGGCTCTGTGCTGACAGTGCAGAGCCTGCTTGAGATTCTCTCTCTCCCCCTCTCTCTGCCCCTCCCTCCTCTCTCTTTCTGTCTCTCTCTCTTTCTCTCAAAATATAAATAAACGTCTTAAAAAAAAAAAAGAACAGCTAGATTCTATGACAGACAGAATAGGCAAAGCCTGCCACTCTCCCCAAAATTCTAAAAACCTACAAGTATCTAAAAATAGATTAAAAGGTCATATAATAGGCCTTCCCATCTTATGCGCTCTCACCATTGCCTTCAACGCTGGGAAAGCAATGACACAGAGCACGAGCACGGCCATTTTCTCCTGACCCCTCTGAGAAGGAGTTCACGGTGGATGTTCTGCTAAATCTGAACGGAAGAAGGGAGAAGTGAAGGGTACCATAATGGGGTCTCTCCCCCTGGGGAGGGAGCCGGGCTGGCTCTCCTGCGCCCCTCCTCCCCCAGCAGCCGAGTTCCCTGAGTCCCCTGTTGGCCTCTCTGGCTCCAGCCCCTGAGTGCCCGCCTAGCCCTGCCTGTCTGCCCTTCCCACCTCACTTCTGGAGGTGAAGTGCTTCTTTCTGCTTTGCCTCTGGCAGACATACGGGGGCCTCTCTGCGGGGGAGTTCCAGCTGATCCGGCAGACCCTCCTCACCTTCTTCCAGGACCTGCACATCCGGGTGAGTGAGTGGGTGGCCCCAGGAGCACCCTGCCACTGCTGTCCTAGGGAAACAGGGTGCCAAGGGGCCAGGCAGAAGACACCTGAGGTGGCCCAGGTAGTGGTGTCCTCAGCGCTTGGCTCCATGATGATAAAATTGCCGATAACAAATCTCAGCAGTTTTCAAATGGACCAAGGAAGACAGTGATATTGCCATTCTTGCCCAGTTACCTTATGTATCTCTTTAAAATATGGTCTGTTCCCTTCTCCAGAGGAAATGTGTTCTCTGTGGACCAGGGAAGACAAATAGATTTCAACGCAGAGGCCAATTTCATTTTTAACCCTCATGAATAATTTTATTCGGCATAGATGGGAGTAATAATAACACCAACATAAATTAAGATCTCTCAGTCATCGATTAAAATTTTAAAAAATATATGAAAGTACAAATAAGATTAAGTTTTGTGTTGCTTTAAAATATTGAAAACCCTGCATCATATTCTTCTCAGGACGGTGCCTGTGTGGACATTGTTTTATGGATTGTAGTGATATAAGCAGCCATATTGATTTCTCAATTCTGACGAGATAAAATCCATTATAATGAAAAGACACTCCTAATAATAAGTTTATAACAAGATCATTAAAATATATTAAACCACAAAATATATTAAGCTTTAATTGCCAAGTAGGCAGGCAGTGAAACATCTGAATGTCCATGAAGAAAAATAGGAATCTCATATCCTGACGATATTCCGCTCTGCTCTGTTACACTTGGCTGGTTTTCTGAGGCTGGTCTTTAAAGGTGTTTCTGCTCAGCCGCAATGTCTGATTGCCTACACAGATTTTCTCTGTTTTCAAAACAGTCCTGATAGTCTTTAGATTTGTTAGTGGGAATCCACTTGAAATCCTGAGCAGTTCTTTACAACCATTCCAATCCCCAACCCCCTCAGCCCTCCAGAACCCTTGCAGAGTTGCCTCCTCAAAGGCAGTCTCCTCAGATCACCTACCCTCAACCAGACTCTTATTCCCATTCCCATTTCCTTCCCTTGTGGACCTTCCTCGTGTTCTTCCCATTGTTTCAGATGTTGGGACACATCATTCCATCTTTGCCTTTTCATAGAATGTTCCCTATACCTCCCCTCGATTATCCACCGCCCTTGGAATCAGTTCATTCTGTAAAACTAGTCAGTCCAACACATGTTTATTGAGTGCCTACTCTATACTCACTCAGTGTCTGAGATACTAGGGTGAGAGATACATGGGTGAACAAGACAAAGGCCCTGCCTTGGGGAGGTTCTACACTAGTAGGAAGAGACGGGGAGGACAAGTAAGTCATGTTCTCGTTCTGATAACTTTTAGGAAGATGACAAGATAAGGTAAAGTTATAGAGAGCAACTGGGGTGGAATGTCCCTTTAAATTTTTTTTTTCCAACGTTTATTTATTTTTGGGACAGAGAGAGACAGAGCATGAACAGGGGAGGGGCAGAGAGAGAGGGAGACACAGAATCGGAAACAGGCTCCAGGCTCTGAGCCATCAGCCCAGAGCCCGACGCGGGGCTCGAACTCACGGACCGCAAGATCGTGACCTGGCTGAAGTCAGACGCTTAACCGACTGCACCACCCAGGTGCCCCTGGAATGTCCCTTTAGACCAGCAGCATCTCATAGCACTTTCTGTCACAATAGAGATGTTCTATATCTGTGCTGTCTACCATGATAGCCACTAGCCACATATGGTTATGGAACACTTAAAATACGGCTAGTGTGACAGAGAAACTGAATTTTCAAGTTAATTTTAATAGCCACACTTGACTAGTAGCTACTGTACTGGACAGCACATCCTTTGATGATAGAGTTAAAGACATGTCAAGGGCAGCCTTTCTGAGGACAGACACATGAGTTGACATCTCAGGGAAGTGCATCTAAATTGAAGGGACAGCAAGTCCAAAGGTCCTGAGATGGAAAAAGCATGATGTGTTCCTTGGACAGAGACAAAGCCAGTGTGAGTGAAGCCTATGTAGGCAGGAGTGATACAGTTAACAAGCTGTGTGGCGTGGGCACTGACTCATCAGAACAGATGCCAGTTATAACTAAACTGGTACCTACCAGTTGACTTAGCTTTGTACCCAAGTGAGGAGTTTATTTTAAGAGTAAAGAAAACATTTCAGGCATCCTAAGGTGAACAATAACGTGATCTGATTTGTGTTCTGGAAGATGAACTGTATGGGACAAGGGTGGAAATAGGACTGTAGCTAGGACACTACTGTAGAAATCTGGGTAAAAAATGAAAGTTCTTGGGGCCCCTGGGTGGCTCAGTCAGTTAAGTGTCCAACTTCGGCTCAGGTCGTGATCTCATGGTTCGTGGGCTCTAGCCCCACATCAGGCTCTCCGCTGACAGCACAGAGCCTGCTTCGGAACCTCTGTCTCCCTCTCTTTCTGCCCCTTGTGCACTCTCTCTCTCTCTCTCAAAAAAACCAAACCATTTAGAGGCACCTGGGTGGCTCAGTCGGTTAAGAATACAACTCTTGGGGCACCTGGGTGGCTCAGTCGGTTAAGCGTCCGACTTCAGCTCAGGTCATGATCTCACAGTCTGTGAGTTCAAGCCCCACGTCGGGCTCTGTGCTGACAGCTCAGAGCCTGGAGCCTGCTTCACATCCTGTGTCTCCCTCTCTCTCTGCCCCTTCCCTGTTCATGCTCTGTCTCTGTCTCAAAAATAAATAAACATTATAAAAATTAAAAAAAAAAAAAGAATACAACTCTTGATTTTGGCTCAGGTCATGATCTCACTGTTCGTGAGTGACAGCACAGAGCATGCATGGGATTCTCTCTCTCTCTCTCTCTCTCTCTCTGTGCCCTTTGCTCACTCATGCCCTCTATCAAAAAAATAAAATAATAATTATTTTAGGGGCACCTGAGTGGCTCAGTTGGTTGGGCGTCCAACTTCAGCTCAGGTCATGGTCTCACAGTTTGCGAGTTCAAGCCCCACGTCGGGCTCTGTGCTGACAGCTCAGAGCCTGGAGCCTGCTTCAGATTCTGTGTCTCCCCCATCTCTCTGCCCCTCCCATGCTCATGCTCTGTGTCTCTCTGTCTCTCAATAATAAATAAACATTAAAAAAATTTTAAATAATAATTATTATTATTATTTTATAATTAAAAATTAAATAAATAAACATTTTTTTTAAAGACAATGAAAGTTCTTGGGGCACCTGGCTGGCTCAGTCGGTGGAGTATGTGACTCTATCTCATGGTTGTAAGTTCAAGCTCCACATTGGGTGTAGAGATTACTTAAAAATAAAATCTTTAAAAAAAAAAAAAAAAAAAAGAGAAACAGTGCGGTTAGGTGTCGACCCGGCTCATGATCTCATGGTTCATGAGTTCGAGCCCACAGCAGGGCTCTGTGCTGACAGCTCAGAGACTGGAGCCTGCTTCGAAATCTGTGACTCCCCCTCTCTCTCTGTCCCCTCCCCAGCTCATGCTCTGTCTCTGTCTCTGAAAAAATAAATAAATGTTAAAAAAAATTTTTTTAAAGAAAGAAAGAAAGAGAATGACAGTTCTTGCTGCCAGTGGAGACAGTGAGAAGTCTTCACATTTGGGGTATCTCTTCTGGGCAAGAGCAGTTAAGACTTACTGAGAAATTGGACATGGGGAGGGAGAGAAAGAAGAATGAAGAATGACTACGTTTTTGGCCTGAGCAGCAGGTGTGCCATTAACTGAGAGGGGGAAAGCCTGAGGGAAGTATATTTGAGTAGAAAAATTAATTAATTTTATCTAAGTTTGATTTGCCTATTAGGCATCTGAGTAGCAAAGTCAAATAAGCAATTGAATATATAAGTCATAGAGACGGCATTCAAAGTCTTCTGATCTCTTGGTGGAGGCTGGTCATCCTCCCTTGTCCACAGGTAGGGTGTAAAAAGCATGGTCAGCATTCCACCACCTTTCCCCTTGCTTTCAGATCATTATTCTCCTGCCCTCACCAGCTTGGCCCTCCCCTAGTGAGGACAGACCGATAAGCCCAACACCACACAAAGCCCTGCACTCATCACTCACTGAAACTGACTGCCCAGTCACTCACCCATGTTCCCGGAGCATTGACATCCCTGGCTGGCTCTCCTCCTGGCCAGCAGAGTCCAGCCACCGTCCTGGGGAATGTGACTGCTCAGGGACACACCTCATCCGGCACTCCAGACCCATAGCCCTGTGACTTTCATTTCCTCTTTCCATAGGAAACATGCTACCTGCCCCCAGGAACTCATTAGAGAAGGGGGAAATGCACTAAGTGCCTTACAGATGTTTGGTTTTAAAATAGAAGAGCGTAAAGAGGGAGGACACGGGGGTGGGGGCAGTCAGTTCTACCTCAGAGAATCAGAAAAGTTGGGGTATCTGGTTGGCTCAGTCGGTGGAGCATGTGACTCTTGATCTTGGGGTCGTGAGTTCAAGCCCCACATTGGACGTAGAGATTACTTATAAAAAAGCAATCTTACTTATTACTTTTAAAAAAAGAAAGAAAGAAAAGTCTTCATAGAGGATCTGGTATCTTTTTTAAAAAATGGATTTTCACCAGGCCCATGGGAAAATAGGAGCGGGGTTAAGTGGACATCCGAAGTAGAGAACACCATCTCAGTAAAGGCATGAGGCACATACCTGTTTGGTGTATTTCGTGGTGCAGAGGCAGCAGAAGGCTGCAAGCGTTTGGATATGGCAAGAACATAGGATTCAAGGAGGAACATGGCTGCAGAGAAGAACACGGGCCAACTGGACATTATCTGGCAGGCAGCAGAGAGTCACTAAAGCAGGAAAAGGACACAGCCTGATAGAAGTTTAGAAGTGTCTCTTCACGGGTGCCTGGCTGGCTCAGTTGGTTAAGTGTCTGACTCTTGATTTCAGCTCAGGTCATGATCTCATGGTTCATGGGTTCAAGCCCCGCATCGGGCTCTGCACTGACAGCGTGGAGCCTGCTTGGGAGTCTCTGCCTCTCTCTCTCTCTCTCTCTCTCTCTCTCTCTCTCTCTCTCTCTCAAAAATGAATAAACTTTAAAAAAAAAAAGAAGGGTCTTCACCGCAGAATGGAGGATGGCTCACAACCAGGTGAGGGGGGGCAGGGAGGCCAGTTAGGAGGCACCTGCAGCGGCCAGGCCAGAGATGACGAAGGTCTGCACTGGGGACCAGGGTGGAGAGGAGGGGCCAGACACAAGGAGTAATTACTGGGTCTGCAGGGCTTGGTGACTGAATGCACACGGGAAGGTGGCGAGGAGAGGAACTCAGACGGCTGAGGTGGTGCCCTGGTGGCGTCAGTCGCTACAACTGGGAACACCAGAGGAGAATCAGGTTTGGGAAGACAAACGATGACCCTGTTCTGAGCAGGGTGTATTGGAGGTACATCCCACGGAACCCATAGGTAGACACGTCTAATAGGCAATGGGATAGATGCACCAAGTGGCCAGGGTAGGAGACCAAGTGGCAGCTTGAGATCTGGGCGCCATCAGCACAGAGGTGAACACTGGGAGTAGAGGAGGTCACTTGGGGGGAAAAAGGGTGAAAGAAGAGGAGAAGGACAGGAGAGCCACACTTAACAGCTGAGGGCCAGCAGAGGGACTGGGCAAGCAGACAGACCCAACAGTCCCATCCAGCCAAGGGCAGGTTGTCGGGTCAGACACAACCACACACTGGACTGAAGTGTATACATTTCAGACCTGCTATGACACAGTCAACCTTATTAGAATTAGGCTCACAGAGGGTCTAGCACATGCATATATTCCCACTTCTCTCTCCAAATTTTCTTTCTCCATGCTTGTATTCTCATCTCTTGGTCACAGAATGTTAAGGTTAAAAATTCCTTAAAGGTCTTCCAGCCAAACCCACAAACCAGGAGATCGTGACCTGAGCCAAAATCAAGAGTCAGATGCTTCACTAACTGAGTCACGCAGGTGCCCCTCCCATCTCTGCTTCTAAAGTGTCTTCACACCCACCTTCTTCCGGGCCCAGCTCCAAACCCACACTCACCCCTGCCCACTCCCATGCCTGTGGTCATTCTCCTCAGTGGGCTACTGTGCATATACCATCCAGCATATCCTGCTGTGTATTGTCCCCTGTTGCCATTTTACGCCCGGGTCCTGGGTCCGGTTGGACTGTAATCCTAAGAGTATTAGCTACCACGTATCGAGCACTTACTGTGTGTCAGACGCAGTGATAAGTGCTTTCTCATTATCTGATTTAGCAGGTAACACTTACCCGTTGAATACCTGCTATTATCACCCCCCAGTTTGCCAAACAGAAAACTGATACGCGGAAAGGTTATAGAACTTGCCCAAAACTCAGAGCCAAGGAGCGGCCCAGCTGGGGTGTGAGCCTAGACGGTCTAACATCAGCGTGCCAAACTGCCATCTTACACAGTCTTACCCCTTTGCATTTTCACTGCTTTGCACACAACAGATGCTTATTTTTGATGATATTACGAATAAAATCTAGTCGAGTTTTAGAGTTTGAAGGGATCCTCGAATTTATCTCGTTTTACAGATGAGGAAGCCAGGGTCCAATAGAACTGATTAACTACTGCAACTTTGATGGAGTTTCATCTGATCCAGACCTTGACACAAAGTATGCAAACCAGGGGGCGTCTGGCTGGTTCAGTAGAGCATGTGACTCTTGATCTCAGGGTTGTGAACTTGAGCCCAACGTTGAATGTAGAGATTACTTTAAAAAAAAAAAAAAAAAAAGCCAACCAGGAAGTAGAAATCAGCGTATTATGGTGTTTGCAGTCACATAAAAGACCTTCAGACTCTAAGGCCAACCGGATCCAGATCCACCTGCTTGGGCCCCTTTCCACCGGTCTAGCACATGGCCAAAAGCTCAGGCTCCAGAGTCAGAAACACAAGGGTTGAATCTTTAGCTCTGCCCCTTCTGAGCTGGCTGGCCTTGAGAAAGTGTCTCAACCTCTGAGCTGCCAGTTCCTCGTCCTTATTGTTCTCTTTGGGCAAGTCCCCTCACTCTGGGAACCTCAGCTTCCTCATCTTTAAAACGAGGGTAATACAGCTCACCTGGAAGACTTGCTGTGCGGCTCAAAAGAAAGTCTGTTTGGAAAAACACTGTAACTCTGTAGGGCTAGTTACGCTGAGTCTTTCTCGTTGTTAGAAGCTCACTAGGTAACACCCCCAAGCCATTACACACTTTCCATCCTCAGAATGCTTATGTCTAGGAAAATATACCAAGAAAAATGACAAGAAGTGTATTTTTTCCCAGGTATCCTTATTTCTAAAGGACAAAGTTCAGAATTCCAACGGTCGCTTCGTGTTGCCGGTGTCCGGGCCCGTTCCCTGGGGAACTGAAGTTCCTGGACTCATCAGGTGAATTCTCAACAGTAATTGTCAGACCAACGTTTGGGGCGCCAGGAAACCCACATGCAGGCCTCCACATAGAAAGTGCCGGGTTCCTACCCACCCCAGCCTTCCATCAGTGAAGCACAGCAGTTAAAAGGTCAGGTTCTCATCCCAGCTAGGCCACTTAGCAGACACTTGAAGCCAACCACCCAGTTCTTCAAGATTCACTTCCTCATCTATGAAATGGTTGCTGTGAGAATGAATAAGATAATAATGCTCTGAAGTGCTTACACAGCACCTGGCACCTCACATGTCCTTGGTAAATATTGTTATTATTACCTCAACCAGCATCTTTATCTTGAAGGAGTGCATGAATCTCCTTTTTGTCCTGTAGTACAAAGAATAAAGAAGCCTCCAGGACTACCCGAGCTTGGAGAACATCCCATCATGTCATACTTTGTGTTGTAGAATGTTCGACAGCAAAGGCAAAGAAGTGAAGAAGGTAGAATTCAAGCATGGTGGAAACTATGTCACTGCACCAAAAGAAGGTTCTTTTGAACTTTATGGAGACCGAGTCCTGAAACTGGGAACCAATATGTAAGCACATTCTCCCTCCCCGAATGAATTCAAGTCTGAGGGAGGTCACTTCATTTTTAAAAACCTTCTTGACCTCCCCTATGAAAACCCCTGCTGACAAGTGAAATAATTTCCCCTCAGATACAGTGAATGCAGAGCCCTGACATTTTCCAAGGGCCCCCAAGATGCCCAAACATCAGGTAACTCAACAGGTTGAAAAATAAATAATTTTAAATAGCCACGGAAGAGCACTAGCCAAAACCCTTGTTGCCATGGAGATCCAGAATGGCGTGGCCTTCACGTACTGTTCACGTTTTTTTCAGTAATCTACATTACTTTGCGAGAAGAGCCATTTCCACCTAACTTCACAGGTATTTTTCTTTGGGAAGCCATGAAATCTGCGTGGTTGCTACCCACTTAGTTATATTCTGTAATCCTGGCACATTTCTGGATGCTTTTTAATGTCTCAGGATAAAAGTTAACGTGCTATATTTCTGAGTTAGAAACAAGTCAGTGTAAAAGGGCTGGAAAGTGTTTTCACAGTTTTCTGTTGACACCAGGTACAGTATGAACCGGCCGGTGGAAACCCATATGTCTGGGGCATCAAAAAACTTAGCTCCACGGACCCAGGTGAGCTTCCGCCCTCCTTATTCCTCTTCAGAGCTTATGTCTAGACACAAAAACTGGGATGGGGAGAGGGGTGGAAACTCTAGACTTCAAAGCCAGCCAGTGTTCCCCTCATTGTTTACACTCTTCTCAGTTCAGCCTTGCAAGTACAAAGGTTTTTAATTGTAGTTTCTCATGAAGACTTCCAGTGATCTGACTAATTAGGTAATTTCAGGCTTGGCTCAACCACCATAATTAAGCTGGAACCACACACCAGGACACGTGAAACGGCATTGTACCCGTGCCACTAGGTCTATGGTTGCTGAGTCTAGCGCTCATGTGTTCTGATCATTAAACCGTCCCTTTGCAGTGCTACCCGACATAATGATGTGGTAGCTCCGTTCAAAATGGGGTTTTAGATTCTCTGAATGCCATCTTTATAAATTTTCACAGCATTAGCTACTAGCGAGCTATAGGACAAATCATGAAATAGTTATGTGCAAACATTGATTGAACGACTTCTGTGGGCTGGGAACCCAGGGACACAAAGCTGGCTTAGAAGGAGAAATGGGCCCACAGACCAAGGTGTCAGTATAAGCAAAGACACCAAGGGACAAGAGAGCCTAGTGGTGTTTGGGGGGAGCGGGGAGGCAGCGTCTCTGCCACGTGGCTGGGTCATAACGCAATTGAGGCAGGTGGCCGGAGAGCCGCCCGTACCAGGACACTGGGGCCTGATCCCAAAGAGGCTTAAACAACTTGGACCTTGTCATTTAGGCAAGAGGCAGAGGGGTTTATCTTAAGCGAGAGAGAAGTCTACCTGAGATAATGGGCTGGTGGCAGAGCGACAAAAGAAAGGCAGAGTAGCGGAAGAGGCAGAGCAGGGGGCGGCTGGGTTAGAGGAGCCGGGGTTGGAAGGAGGGGTGAGGGTTGAGCGGGGCCAGACAGCAAGAGGAGGGAAGGGATCCCGGGTGTGTTCACCACAGTCACCACCTGAGGGCAGTGTGGTAGCTCCGATGGAAGCAGCACCCTTGGACCCGGAGCTTTTGCTGAGGCTACTTGTAAACTCAAGGGAACTAGACTGACGAAAGAGGAGGTAATGTTCTTCCTCTGCAAGGAGGAAGGTCGTCTGAGGAGAACGGGGATCCCTGGGGGCCCTCCGCTCATCTTGAAAGTGTGAGAATCTCTGGTTTGCTTCCTTGCTAAGGGTCCTTCTTCTTCTCATGTGGATTATTTCTGTTTTGGTTAAGCCTCTTTTCTATGCTTTGTTTGGACACATTTCTTCCCCGGATAATGTAAAGAGTCATTGTTTTGCCTTGTTCTGCAATACCACCCTGGGTCTCCGGGGTCTCAGCAGGAAATGTGATCACCTTCATGTAGCTAAAAATCATGAAATTGTTTCTGCAGGAAAACATTGCTCCAAACCCTCTTGCTAAAGAAGAGCTGAATTTCTTGGCCAGGCTGATGGGAGGGATGGAGATTAAGAAACCCAGTGGCCCTGAGCCAGGATTCCGGTTGAATCTCTTCACCACTGATGAAGAGGAGGAGTACGTTTTAAACCTGTTTCTTACAAGGCATATGTAAAAATCCTAAGTGTGATGAGAACCAAAAAAAAATGACCATTGTAACCAGTAACACTTAAAATATAGGTGTAAAGGTCACAGAGGAAAAAACAGCAAATTCAATAACCTAGTTAAAGAAGAATCCACCAGGGACGCTTGGGTGGCTCAGTTAGTTAAGCGTCTGACTCTTGATCTAGGCTCAGGTCATGATCTCACGGTTCGTGAGATGGAGATCTCAGCTCAGGTCATGGTCTCATGGTTTATGAGATCGAGCCTGACGTGGAGCTCTGCGCTGACAGCACAGAGAAAGTATTCTGTCTCTCCCTCTCTCTCTGCCTCTCCTCTGCGAAAACGCACATGCGCTCGCTCTCTCTCTCTCTCTCTCTCTCAAAATAAGTAAATAAACTTTCAAAAAAAGAAGAAGAATCCACCAGTATTAAATAGCATGCATCTTCTGGATTCATTCAAGAAATAGTTCTAATGTCTTACACAACAAAGCATAGCTGAACAAGTATCGGAAGTCAAGAAAATCATAGAAAGAAAAATCTGTTAAGAAACCAGAGGGAAGTCAGAGCATGAGTCTTTGGGATATGGCAGCCTCCTCCAAAACCAGTAGGGAGAGTGATCCACCCAGATTTATACAAAGCTTCATAGTTTGTAGAGCACGCGTGCATCATTATCTCATGTGATCCTCCTTGCACCCAAGTATTTGGGATGGGAGTTGCCCTCTGTTCCTGTTGAACTAACTTCTTCCGTGCACTTCTGTGTGAGAGTCACTCTGGTGAGTGCTGGGGACACAAAGATAGAGCGTAAGACCTAGAGCCTGTCCTCAGTAGCCCGCAGGGTAGGAGGAGAATGCACACAGACGCAAGTTAGTTCAGTGCCGAGTCATAAATGTTCTAATGGAGGACGTAGTGATTGACTTTGCACCAGCAGATGAAGGGAGTTGGCATCTGGGCTTGGTCTTGGAGTTTGCCAAGCAGAGGAAGGGGAAAAACATTCTGGCCAAGTTCAGTACATGCAAAGGCACAGAGACATACAGGGACTTGACTTTCTGGAGCATAGGGTACACTGCTTGGGGATAGGACGGCCAGAAAGCTGGAGGGAAACAGCAGAAGGTGAGGCAGAAAAAATAGGCTTCTAAATTATCAAGCGCCTGTGTGCCACGCTGTCGGGGAGAAAACCCTAACCTTTGACCCATTTCTCTACTATCTCATGCAGACAAGCAGCCCTAACCAGGCCAGAAGAGTTGTCCTACGAAGTTATCAACATACAAGCTACTCAGGTGTGTGCGGGCGATTGCACAAGCCAAACGTTAGTCCCTTCCTCACCTCCTAATAACCTTGAACTTCACTGGCCCTCCCTTCCCTTGAACTTCAATGGCCCTCCCTTCTCTCTAATCAGCATGTATCTAGAGCCCCTAGCCTGGCAATCAGGTGAGGAACTGACCTGCATCACGGTGGCGGGATGAAAATTAAACACCAGGTGCACAGAGAGGCAGTCGTGCTGACACGTCCCTTTCACTGCCTTCCCCTCGTGTTTCTCCAACAGGACCAGCAAAGGAATGAAGAGCTGGCTCGCATCATGGGGGAGCTGGAGGTCACGGACCAGCCGAGGCAGAGTGCCAGCAAGGGGGATGATCTACTTGCCATGATGGATGGGCTGTAGGTGTACTGGCCCGGGACCCTCGGCCCCCTGTGGGGCGGGCTGCCCGATAAGGACCCCAGAGACGCCTTGGGGAGCAACATGATGTCGCTGGTTTTCTCCGGAGTGAGCAGGTACCTCCCGTTCCTGTTTGTGTTGTAACTGAACTACACAAGTCTCCCTCAAGGAGCAGTGTCCGGAAGGCACACACATACCCACGTTCTCACCAAAATATATTCTGCATTTTAAATTGGACCTTCTCCATTTTCTTCTGGTTTTATGGCAACCATCTAAAGCCATAGGGCCATAGGTTCAAGCCCCAGAGCCAGGAAGGGGGCGCGCCTGTTGCGGCTCTCCATTGCGACTTTCCTGTGGATGCCTATGGCTCACGGGCACCTGTGAATTGTCACAAAACTTCAGGGCGTCCTGGGATGTACTCTGCCTTGTAAGCGACTTTGAAATGGGTGGGGAAGGCAGTTGGGGCCCAGCTGAGACAGCCCTCCTCTGCCTGGCACCCTGGGAACCGTAACCTCAGAGGCAGAGTAAGTAAGGCCACTACAGGGAACACACAGCTGGGCCCCCGCACAGAGCATGTGGGTATCTGTCCTCCTCTGCACACCTCGCTATCCATATGCGGTGTGGGCGTATCCCATACAGAAGCGTGTGCCAAGGAAATAGTTTGCTTGGTATGTACTCTTCACCCCCAGGGTCTTCCTCTGCCGCTTAGTGTCCTTGCCTTCTAAAGACCCCCGGCACGATGTGCTGTGACACCCATCTCAGCTTCACCATCAGTGGCCGGACAGAGCCTTAAGTGAGTGGAATATGTGGGAGGTACACATGGTGTGGCACTTTCCCTTTCATGTACCAGATGAGTTACTTCCCTTGGCGGGAAGCCAAGTCTAATTGAGATCCATGTAAAATATCTCAGGCCAGGGCAGCCCGAATTGCTTCAAAGAAGGAGCATTAGCCCACCACCACAGGCTCATCCTGGACCCAGTAACTGGCAGGCTCAGGGCCAGCCAGCATCCAGAGGTCAAGGTCCATTCAGTCCCATGGAAGAAATACCCAAAATGGCAGAAGGCAAGAGAGAAACGGAGCTGAGCCAATCACTGCCTGAGATCGAGCCAGCCACAGGGACCACTCGGGCCCCTCATGCCATGGCAAGAGTGGAGGCAGACATAGTTCTGGAATGTGAGGGGCAGGGAAGCTGCCTTTAGCCTGCCGAAGGCATAGCTTTTGGGTACAGAAAGATAAATCACTAAATGAACTTAAGTTGCTTCCTACAGATGAAAGTTACACTTCCTTACCTACAGAACCCCCCAGAAGGTTCCTTGGGGAGGAGACGCATATCATGCCACCTGTTAACAGCTTACAAAGAGCCTTCTGTTTTAGCCTCTTTTAAGCACTCTGGCTACCAGTTGGGGCGGCCTGAAGGGGGGACAGATGAAGGGGAAGGCTCTTTCCTGTTCTGGGCCAGGCTCCCACCACACTGCCACAAACCGAAACTCCACGGCCTGCTCCGGGCCTGTCCTGGAGCCTTGGAGGTGGGCCACCAGCTGCTGAGAAGCAGCCACCTCCCTTCACCTATCCCAGAGCCATGCGGATGATTTCAAACGTGTCTGCTTCCTCAATAAATAAACAAGATACAGATCTCTGGTAGGGCAGCCTTGTGATGAGGCAACCTTTGCGTTTCATGTCTCTAGACTCGCACAGCTATTGAGAAAAACAAGTTCACTTGCGTGGTGGTTGAGGACATGCAGAGAAAGCAGGGGAGGCAGGAGGAGGCAAAGAAAACAGAAGACGGGGGTTGATCCGGCAAGAATGTGGACTGAGTACTAGCACTTCATCAGTGTTCATTTAAAACCAGGCCCCGTGTCCGAGGGTATCCTAACACAGTATTCAGTGTGCGTCAGGGGAAGGCGTCCCACGGTCAGAGTCAGGACACTGGGCTATGGCCCCATCCCTGCCTCAAACTCACCATGGCCTCTGGGGCACTCACTCTCCCTGAGCCTCAGTTCCCTCATCTGGAAGAAAGAGAAAGAACTGGTTCACTGGCTTCAAGCTGGCGTTAGTTTACAGATTCCTTGGCCCCTCCCCAGGTAGGAGCTGAAAACTGGAATCTATACATATGCCACCCCCCCCCCCCACTCCATGCTTTGGGGGTAGATCTACTCTCCCAGCTCCTTCTGTGACCGACCTCCTCCCAGCTCAGCTTCAGCCTGTTCCACTCTTGTTCACATAGTGTCGGAATGCCCTACAGATTAGTAAGGCAAAGTTCTAGAAACGTCTTCTGAACAAAAGGTCTTTAATGGCTCCCAGAAGAAAGACGTAAAAAGTTAACAGTGAAGGGGGTAAAAAGGGGTGGGAAAGAGCATTTAGCTCTCAGTTCTAAGAGGAAAGTCACCTCACATGGTCCATGTGAGTATCTAACAATTCTTAAAGGCAAACTCACTTTTTCTAACCCCAGCATGGGAACCAGATCCTGGAGATCCCCAGGTCTAAACAAGGGCACGTTCCTGCGTCCACTTGCACCTGGTTTGTGGCCAGTTTACATCCAGGAGAGAAGCCAAGTTAAGCCATGTGAAACCACAGGAAGAGAAATGCAAATTTTAGAAAATACACCTATTTACCATAGTGCCTAATCATAAAGACCCAAATTGTTTTTTTATTAAATATAATTTTTTGTCAAATTGGTTTCCATACAACACCCGGTGCTCATCCCAACAGGTGCCCTCCTCAATGCCCATCACCCACTTACCCCTCTCCCCCCACCCCCCATCAATCCTCAGTTTGTTCTCAGTATTTAAGAGTCTCTTATGGTTTGCCTCCCTCCCTCTCTATAACTCTTTTTTTCCCCTTCCCCTCCCCCATGGTCTTCTGTTGAGTTTCTCAGGATCCACATATGAGTGAAAACATGGTACCTGTCTTTCTCTGCCTGATTTATTTCACTTAGCATAATACCTTCCAGTTCCATCCACGTTGCTGCAAATGGCCTGATTTCATTCTTTCTCGTTGCCAAGGAGTATTCCATTATAAAGACCCAAATTAAAATCTGAAAACTAATACAACCTTTACTTATCCCTTACTCTCTTTGTTTTAGGTCCTGGGTAACTCCTCTTCAGCTGCCAAATTCCTGGACAGCTGACTGTAGAGGGGGTCAAAGGGAGTGTTTACCAGGGATTGGATTGAGGAAACCCGGTCACAGTTGGATCTTCCCCACATAGCTTTGTGATTCGTGTGAAGTAAATTCTCAGGTCATAACTCACCCCTTTCAAATGAGAATTTCAAAATGCATTCCAATGGCCCATGGATTGTTTGATACTCTGGATTATTGAGTAATGTAACACTCCCCCCACCACACACACACACACACACACACACACACACACACACACATTCTTTTTGTTTCTGGCCTGTGGTGCTTCTGCTGACAAAAATAACATTACCTTCTCTGTTAGTTCCCCGAACCACACAAAACCCTAATTGCATTAGGCCTGGTGAAGCCACACAGCTGGCGTGGGCCCCGATGAGCCGGGAGCAGACCCTGGGCTCCTAAATCCTGGACGTGCACATTTGCCTCAGATCACTCCGCCCTCCTTTGTCTTTACTAAACTCTCTAATTTCCTTTTGAAACACTGGGGCTATTGTTTTTTTCGGGTTTTCACGAAGTCACAGTAGCAGCCAAGGACCTTCGACACGGGTTTTCTGGGTGTCCTAAAGACCTCTCGGCTTCTGTGACAGCTGCTTCCTGTGCCTTCCCTCATCTCTCCTCCCCACTTCAGCGCGTCTTCTATCCGTGCCCTTCTTCCCCTCAGTCACACCCAGCCTCCTTTCTGCACCTCAGACATGGGTCTGAACGGCTGCTGAGGACGCACCCCCAGCCCAACTGCTCCCACCCACACCCTGGGGCTCTGCTTCCCAGGCTGTCCTAGTTCCTCTCTGCTCACTCGCCCGTCCGCACTCCAGGCTTCCTGGCCGGCTCCCCTCCCCTCCTTCCTACATGCTCCCGTCACCACACAGACCCCTTCTCCCCTCCTCCAGGCTCTGCCCGCTCTGCCAGGTGCGATGGCCTTCTCTCCTCCCCATTCCCCTTGGCCTTTGGAAGGCTCTCGGCCCTGCTAAGCTCCATTTGCTTCCCAAAATTCTCTCCCCCTTTGGCCCCGGTGGCTCACATCCTGCTTTGTGCCCACACTTCCCCTCTCTCCCTCGGTGGCTCCTGACGGAGGACTGCCCAGCATGATACAGATGCTGTTGCTGTGGGCATTTTTCAAAGTCTGTCAGAATGGCCAGGTCAATTGCCAGATGACCCCAATTTCACCCTTAGCCTCTCTCCCCGCCCCTCACTCTCCCCTCGCCTCCCCCTCCCCCTGCCCCCTAGACCGCCCCCGCAGCACCCAACCTTCATTCTTTGCCAAGCGTTTGCCTCCTTTTCTTTCCGAGAGGCCATTACTCTCAACTCTTACTATTGACTCACAAATCTCCGTGACCCCTGTCCTCGCCTCGGCTGCAGGTTCACTTTCCCTGAGATCTTCCACATCACCTCACAACTCGGTGTCCCAACACTGACATCTTCGCTTATTTAGTACATTTACTTCACTTTCTTTTTTTTTTTTAATATATTTTTCAATGTTTATCTATTTTTGAGAGAGAGAGAGACAGAGTGCGAGCGGGAGGGGGCAGAGAGAGAGGGAGACCCAGAATCCGAAACAGGCTCCAGGCTCTGAGCTGTCAGCACAGAGCCCGACGCGGGGCTCGAACTCATGGACTGTGAGATCGTGACCTGAGCCGAAGCCAGACACACAACCGACTGAGCCACTCAGGTGCCCCACATTTACTTCCCTTTCAAAAGGCACAGAGAAACTTCTAAAATTAAATATAATACAGAATAGGACAGTTTTCCGTAGAAAAGGACTAGAAGCAATGGGTAGAAGTTACCAAGAACATCTGACCGCGGAGTCTAATGCCTGGCAGCAAAGTGAGCCGCTCGTCACCAGTGCATCTTCTGAGCACCGTAGAGGGGTTTTAGGGCACTGGGTGCTGAGCTGGAGCAGGTGACCTGGGAACTGCCCTCTTGGGATTCTGTGATTCTCCGACAATTGGAAACTGAACCATTAACAGCTCATCTAAAGGGAACACGGGAATTCAAGGCTCCTGAAATGAACTCAATTCAAGTGGGCCCAGCACTAGTCTAGGTTTTGGGTTGCAAAACATTGAAACCAATTCTGGCTACTTAAGTAGAGAAGGAATCGACTTACAGGGCTCTGGGAACTCACAGTTGTCAGGAAGACTGAAGAACCAGGAGAAAATGGCCAGGAAACAAGGGTAAGCAGGCAGCAGAGGAAAGGCCGCTGGCACCAGCAGCAACCCCAAGAATGAGGACTGGACGATGCCTAAATAGTCCATGCTGGTTTGTGTCACTTGCTCCAGATTTAGAACCTGGTAACGCCTGAGTTTAGGTCATCAGCCCATGCCATAGCCAACAAGGATGAGAGACAGTATCTGGCCCTGAAGTCATCTGGAGTGGGAAGCCAAACCCCACTCAAAATGCGTAGCATGCCTGATTTCCCCAACTGTGGGGAAAGGAGTTTAGTGGCTGAGTAGCCAAAAAATGGGATCTCCCCCACAGGGTCATTCCACCATCTCTCTAGATAACCAGAGTTAAAATATAGATCATTGAGGGGTGCCTGTCTGGCTCAGTCAGAAGAGCATAAGACTCTTGATCTCAGGGTCGTGAGGTCGAGCCCCACAATGGGCATAGAGAGTACTAAAAAAATAGACTTAAAAAATTTTTTTTAGTCATCGATTTCTCCTCCTCCCACCCATACTCCAGATCTAATCAGTCTCCAGGGAGTCTTCTTATTCCATTCAGTCTTTAACATTCAGCACTTCTTTCCATTTCAACTGCTGCCATCTTCATCCAGATCCCTATCACCTTCTCACCACATTCATAAAGCTGGTGTTCCTCATGTAACTCTGGTTTGTAATGTGAAGCATTTGGGCCTCCTCAGGCTTTCTCCCTGTCTCAACACCCAGGAGACCAGTAGGGGAGAAAGTAAGATTTACATAAATAAGGGTGCCTGGGTGGCTCAGTCAGTTGGGTGTCTGACTTCGGCTCAGGTCATGATCTCGTGGTTTGTGAGTGCAAGCCCCGCATTGGACTCCGTGCTGACAGCCCAGAGCCTGGAACCTGCTTCGGATTCTCTCCAACACCAACCACCGCCCCCCCCCCCGGCCAAAATAAACATTAAAAAAAATTGTTTTTAAGATTTACATAAATAAGTATGCAAGTCTGCATACAACAAGCAAACATACAGCAAGCAATACGCTATAGGGCTTAGGAGTGAGACATCACACCCAAACAGGGTTATTGGTGAAGACTTCAGAAAGATATAGCACTTGAACCAGACTTTGAAGTAGGGATTGGATTTAACATCCAAAAACAAACAAGAGAGGATCCCAGGCAGATGGAGCAGGATAGCAAAGGAAGAGGCAAGAGTTCAGGGCTTGTCTGAGTTGCTGAGTGGCTGGGTCTAACTAGAGAGGAAGACAATGGGCCTCAAATTGTAGTGTGCATTGTTGGATGTGCAGATTCCCAAGCTCCACTTCTGATTCTGTGAAACAAAGCATTCCATTAAGGCAAGTTGTCCCCATACCACACTTTAGGAAACACTGGTTGGAGGGTTTGGGTAGAGAACCTGAAAAGAGATCCAGCTGGAAGGTGAGGTGAAATCAAATCAATGTCAGCACTGGAACCTTTATTCTGTTAATTAATCAAAAGTTTTCTTAGCAGGTAAGTAATATCATAACTGTGCTTTGAATCTGTTGGCAAAGATCATGAGACACACAGGCCAGTAAGATGGTTTTCATAATGAATCAAGTGAGAGAAAGAGGGTCTCAACTAGGATGGCGGCAGTCAGAATAAAAATACAAGTGAGGGGTGGGAGACGCACTTCCAAGAATTTGCAGGGATCAGTGACTGACAGGTGTAAGGAATAAAAAAATTATCCAAGTTATCGTATTTATTCGAGGTGGTTGAATGGTTCAAAACTGGTGGTAGCAACCACAGAAATAGAAAAATTCAGGGCAACAACTGATTTGGGAAGAACTTGACAAATTTATCTTGTAGACATGCTGAGTTTCAAGTACCACTATGACATGGGGGCATGAGCAACAGAGAGCTGGAAAATGGAGTTTCATAGAGTGGACTGTGCCCATGATCTAGACAAGAAACTCAGCACATAGTACTAGACAACATGGATAGATGTGACCACGTTGAGGGTGGGGCTGGGAATACAGCCCGAGAGAAAGCACACGTGTTAGGAAGCAGGAGAATGAAATGGGGCTTAAAAAGAGAGGGAGAGAGATGGGAGAATAAACAACCAGAAATCCATAAAACCAAATGATACAATGCCCCCCGTGGGGGAGGGGGGGGCGGAATACCAAGGAAGAGAATGGACAATATAGTCAAGCACTAAGAAGGATCATGAAAGTAAGGACTAAGGAGAGAAAGGTTCTCCTTATAAACCATCAGTAACCCCTGCCAGAGAAGTCAGTGGAGTCTTGGAAGTAAGCCAGATCAGAGTTGAGTGAGAGGAAGACAGAGTAGCGATTCTCAAACTTTTTCGAAGGGTGAAATAAAATTATAGTATTAATTCATTGTAAAAGAACAATAATAGACCCATTAACATATTTTTGTATAAAAATGACTATTTTCGGGGGGGGGGCGCGCTGGGTGGCTCAGCCCTTTAAATGTCAGACTCTTGATTTCAGCTTAGGTCATGTTCTCATGGTTCATGAGATCAAGCCCCACGTCCGGCTCTGTGCTGAAAGCACAGAGCCTGCTTGAGATTCTCTCTCTCTCTCTCTCTCTCTCTCTCCCTCTCTCTTTCTCAAAAATAAATTCATCAATTAAAAATAATTTTCAACTGCATTTTCAAAAAGAAAAAAATTGATGGGAAGAGTCACATTGTGCTGTGTTCTTGCAAATCTCTTTAATGCCTGTTATAACAGAAGTCAGTTAGATTTTCATATGTGCTTCTGCGTTCAGTCCCTTGCAATACGTTGTTTTGCTTGAAGTGCATGCAGGAAATCCAGCCTCACCAAGATAGGAAATTGGACAAAAGATTACACTTAGAGAACCACGGGTGTAGGGGCCTCCTGAGAAGTTCCTTGTGTGGAAGATTAGGAGAACCAAGAGCAGCTTGCATGGAGGAGGAAGGCAGTTTCTATTTTTAGGACGAGAGAGACCAACTGTGATCCTTGGGAGAAGGGGAAGGCTCGTGGGGGAGCTGGAAATCAATGAATGAGAGTGAAGGACTGAAACAAGCCTACACCTTAGGGAGCCAAGTGCTTTCATGTATCAATGAAGGTCAATTCTCCGAGATTGACATCCTTTTTTTTTTTTTCTAATGGGGAAATTAAAGCTTTTACCAAATGACCTCTGAAAAATGTAAATCAGATCATGTCACCCCCACTTTGATACCCCATCAACTGCACTTGTAGAAACTGAGGCACAAAAAGGATAATTAACTTGTGAAAAGTCAGCAGGGAGCAGATTTGAAGCCAGGCACTGCGGCCAGAGCCTACACTCCTAACCGGGAAATCCAACCCCTTACCTTGGCTTACAAAGCCTTAAATGCTGAAGCTCTTGACTTTGTCTCCCACCTCTTGGCATACTACTCTCCTGTCTTACTAGCTTTTCCGTTTTTCCAAATTGGCGAGCGCCATTTCCCCCAGGTCCTTTGCACAAACTGCTCCCTCTAATTGAAGTGCTCCTCTCCTAGTTTTCACAAGGTTGGCTTCTTGTCATTGACCTCAGCTCAAACGTCACCTTCTCAGGACACCCCTGACCTTCCGATAAGAAGCCACCCAGGACTGAAGGACTCTTAGAATTTTCTTGTTTTGTTATGGACGCCCACCCTCAAGTAGTTTTAAGGGTTTCCAGATCAGGGGGCTTGTCTCCTCGGTCACCGCTGTTGTGTCCAGAGCCTGGGAGGAAGCCTCAATGAACATCTGTTGAAAGAATGAATGACTCCCGGAGAGGAGTCACTCCGAAGACGCAGGCCCACAGTCGCCCGTGCGCGAGCACGCCGCCCGCGAGGCGTTCTGGGGATTGTAGTTCCGAGCGCCGCCGCAGTGGCGCGGGCCGGCGCAGGCCGCGCTCTCTATGCTCCGGGAGGACCGAGCGGCCAGGCTGTTGCCATGGCTTCCTAGTCCCGCCGCGGGAGGGAGGCGGCCCCGCCAGGCGCTCGCTAGCTTCGGCAACTAAGCCGACCGGGAAGCGGAAGGAATCCGGCGCGGTGGGTCCCGGACCCCGGGGCGGAGCGCGGGGGCGCCCGGAACCCCGGAGAGCGGCGGGGAGCGGGGGAAGCGCTTCCTTCCCGATTTGCGGAGTAGATTCCATCTCCCCACGCCCACCCCCACTGCTCCGTGAGTAAAGGTTCTTCGCCGTCCCCATTTTCCCGATGGGCCAACAGGCTCGACGAAGCTAAGCGGCTTGCTCGAGGTCGCCCTCCTGGGAAGTGGCAGAGCCCATCCTAAAGCCCAGGACTGCCTCTTTGCAGTCACCGGGCAGCCCTAACCCTCGCTTGGGCGCATTCTGGTGAAGCCTGCGTGGGGGGTCGTTACACACACACCCCCGGCCCAATCCCCCCATCGGTGGTGTGGTCTGGCTTGCCACGCTTGATGCTGTCCTGCACAGCCCGGCTCGGGTTTGAGTGAGGTCGTAAGGAGGAAGTCCCCACCACCTCCCACTCAGGGTCTCAAAAGAGGGGATAGACGAGACAGTCACGTTGATACAACATCAGGGCGTGTTGAAAGCAAAGTACGTTCAGTGAGATTCTGTTAGCCTCATTTAGCCTGTGGTTTCATAGATGTGGAAACAGGTTCAGAGACATGAAGTAACTGCCCTTGGTTTACAGAGTTTGTAGGTGGAGTGAGGATTTCAACCTATTTTTCTCTGCCTTCAAAACCTATGTGTTTTATATGCTGCCATGTTTTTGGTGTTGTTCTTTTTCAATTTACTTAAATGGTGGCTGTATGGTGTAGACCAGTCATTCAGGGAGCACGGGCCCCAGACCAGCAAGTCTCTGTTAACTAAGAACATGTTAAAAATGAACATTCTTGGGCTCCACCTCAGACCTACTAAGTTTGCAAGTTGGGGGGGGGGGGGGGGGGGGGGAGTCCAGCTTTCTGCGTTTTAACATGTCCTCAGGTGATTCTGATACTCACATTTGAGAACTTCTGGTGATTCATGCAGGGGTTATGATAAAGTGCAGATTCTTTCTGCAGGTCTGGGGACAGACCAGAGATTCTGCATATCCCTAACACGTGCCTGAGTGATGCTGAGAGTTCCGGTCCACAGACCGTATTTTGAGTAGCAAGGGTGTAAACGACATTTAGAGCAGCAGTTCTCAAACTTGGATGCACGTGAGAATTAGTTGGGGAGCTTTGAAAAAGAGGATACCTGGACCCCACCCCTGACCAAATGAATCAGAACCTCTGGGGTGTGGCAGCAGGTAAAAACTCACCAGGTGACTCTAACATGCGGCAAGGTTTGGGGAGTACTGGTGTGGGGTTTGGAGTCAGGCAGTCGTAGATTTGAATCCCAGCACCTCCGCTTATCAACCGTGTGACCTTAGGCAAGTCACTTAACGTCTCTTGGCCATATTTTCCCTGCTTATGAAGTGAGTAGGAGTAATTCTTGGCCTCGCCGGGTAGCGTGAGGCTTCTGTGAGATGTGTAAGGCACCTGGCATCGAAGGGTGTTCCACAGACACAGAAACCGGGGAGGTAGGCAGACTTGCAGAAGTCTGCGCTGGGAATTACGCGTAGGGCCTGTTGGAGGGGAGTTGGCGACTGGGCCCGCTTGCCTGCTACAGCTCCCGTCTGTGTGCTCCTCCTCTCGCAGCCGACAGCCCTCGGTGTGGAAGAATGGCCGTGAGCCACTCGGTGAAGGAGCGGACCATCTCTGAGAACAGCCTGATTATCCTGCTGCAGGGCCTCCAGGGCCAGGTGACCACTGTGGACCTGCGCGACGAGAGCGTGGCCCGCGGACGCATAGACAACGTGGACGCTTTCATGAACATCCGCCTGGCCAATGTCACCTACACGGACCGCTGGGGGCATCAGGTCGAGCTGGATGACCTCTTCGTGACAGGCCGTAACGTCCGTTACGTCCACATCCCGGATGATGTGAACATCACGGCGACCATTGAGCAACAGCTGCAGGCCATCCACCGGGTGCGCAACTTTGGCGGCAAGGGCCAAGGCCGGCGGGAATTTCCCTCCAAAAAGTATAAATGAGCCGGCTCGACAGCAAGCCCCCGTCCCCACTCAAGTTCCCCCGGGGTTCTGCCGAGCCAACCGCCTGCGCCGCCTCCCTGCCCAGAACCCAGAGAGCGCGCAGGGCCAGCCCAGAAACGGGTGTCTCTGAGAGACACCCCTGTCACAGCTGCCTTTCGCAGGGTCCCATCTCCTAGGCCCCCCCTGGGATCCTGTCTCTCTGCCTGTGGCCTTGAGGCAGGGGACATTGATCACCTTGTGATGATTTGCATCAGAATCTGATTTACTGATTTAGGGAATCTGCCAAGTAGTTTCCAACCCTCTCCCGTGAGAGTTACCAAGTGTACTTAGCCTGGGCCACCCCTCAGTGTTCCGGTTTCCCACAGTTGTTTTTCTTTTTCATAAAACTTGGATGCAAACAAGTCCATGCCGCGTGCTTCCTCTGACGTGTGCGGGGCTCCGTCTTGTCCTGCCTAGTAGGGCAGTGGCGCTCACCCTTGCAACAGATTGCAATCACCTGTCCCACCATCAGTTCAGATTTCATTGGTATGGGGTGTAGCTTCTGAGGTGATACTAATAAGCAGCAGGTTTTGAGAATTGTAGGCAAGTGCTTCAGTCTGGCCACATGGAAGGTGGCTTTTTCGGTGCAGATTCCCTGTTGAGGAGGTTGTTCGTCTCATTGCTCTTTCCTGAGGTAGAGAGGTTGAGGGAATCCTGGGCCCTCCCCTCAAGTGTGGCAGCTCAGCCAACAGCAAGAGATCAGGCTCCAGTTCTGAGAGTTTTGGGGTCCTCAGGGAAGAAGGGGTGCTCAGGGGTAGAACCCAAGTCTTTGTTGTAGCTGCCTCGCGGCCATACCAGCATGACCACAGGCAAACGACCATCTCAATAAAAGCGGCTGTGTCCTCATCACATCTCCACAGAGCAGCTGCCGTGTGCCAGGCCCTCTGCTGAACACACATTGTCGAATAAGATTTGGTCCCTTCCAAAGAGGGGCTTACAATCTAGTGGAGGAGGTGGTCCAGAACCACGAGATGAAATCCAGCCTGAGAACCTGCTGCGCTAGAGTCCTGAGTAAGGCAGGGCCTTTGGCCTCAAGATGCTTTCATTTCTTGAGGGGGACTTGAGAGGAGCGTTCACTTGGGCACTAGCAGCCCGAGGGCCCTGCATTCACGTTCTCGCCCAACGTGAATCAAAGTGTCATCCTTGGACCGCCTCATCAGAACCAACTGGGATGTGTCTGGAAAAGCCAGTTTCCTGGCTCCAATCTGGAACCCAGGGATCTGCCTCAGTAACATCCACACAGCCACCCACCATGATTCTTCTGAATACTGTGTATTTCATTGCCTGGAGGTCCCAGAAGTCCCCAAGACTTGACCTTTGCCTTCGGGAGAGAACAGTGGGTCCTAGCAGGGAGAAAACAACTGTTTCCAGGCCCCGCTGACGGCTAGAGTTAAGGGGAGCGATGCCACAGGGTGACTGCTGCTAAGAGAAACCAGAGGGCAGGCACGGAAGGGAGGCCCTCACTGTGGAAATGTCTGTGTACTTGCGGGAAGCGGGGGAGCCACCCCATCTGGAGTAATGAACTGGCAGGGAGTCCCACAGCGGCCCCCATTGCAGACATTTCCCACATGTCTGCAAATGTTTCCAAACTTGAAGAGGGCTCATGCTAGGAGTGTGGCCTGGAGATGAAGGAGAAGTCCAGCTCTTTTAAAGGGTGTGCCGGGACTTCTGCAACCTCGGCAGAGCAAGGAGGAGCCCCCAGGCCAGGGAGGGAAGTGGGAAGGACAGTTGAGAAGAGGGGCTCAGACCGAAGCCCTGTGTCCTCTTTCCAGAAGCATCGTGCGCCAGACCCCAATGGGCCCTCCGTCGTCCCCAGATGAGGTGCTGGAAGGATAGACCAGAAGGAGGGGAAATGGGCCTGCTGAGACACGCTCGTGCTGAGCCCCTGGGATAGAGCACAGCGAAGTCTTTAAGCCCCGAGGATATGGGTCTCCTGGCATCTGGTCCTGGGTTGTCGGGGGGAAGGCTGCCAGAGGTCCAGGAAGGCTGGAGGGAGGGAGGTCAGTGCCCACTGGCCTGTGGCAAGCCGAATTCCCTAACTGCTGCCCACCCTTCGTGCCACAGGTATCGCTAGTGACAGTGCTAGCTGCTGAGGGAACATCAAGACAGACAAGGGTCCTGCCCTCAGGAAGCTGACATTCTAGACGGGGAGACTGACAATAAAAAAAGTAAAAATTCTTACAGTTGTCATGAAGGAACTAAACAGGGTACTTGAGAGAGAACACGGAGGTGGTTTTCTTTTGGAAAGTATGGTCTGAAGAAGCAAAATGTAAACCGAGAAGGAGACTGCCATTTCAAGAGCCAAGGGAAGGCAGAGGAAACTACCAGTGCAAAGGGCCTAGGTGGGAACGCTTGGGGGCTGGGGGCAATAACAGAGCACCACTGTGACTATCGGAGGGGGGAGAGGCAGGTGAGGCTAGAGAGAGGGACGGGGCTGGGGCATGTGATACCAAGCCTTGTGGGTAAGGAGTGTAGCTGGTTCCAGTTTCCCGTGTGTGAGAAGTAGACCTTGAATTTTTCCTAATTCAACGGAGTTCCTGTGTCACCCCATTCAGCCAGAGTGGCAGAAACTTAACTGCGGTCGATTCAAAGTTCTCCTCACTTTCCTTGGAACTGGTCGAAAGTTAGGGCATTTCCTCTTAACGTGCCCAAGGTGGGAAAGGCGGTCTGGTCTGGTACTCATCCAATCACACATCCACTGAGATGTCCTCATTTTCTCCTGGTCCTTTGTCATCAGTCTGCTAAGGCTACCACCAACCCAAAGACCCCTTCAGGAGTCACCCATACCCCTCTCAGCGTTCAGAATTTTATTCTGCTTTTCCCAGGAGATTCTTAGGCCCTTGGGCTAGATAGGCCCTGTTTGCCCAAATGCAGCACACAGCTGTTTCTTCAGAGGGTTTTGTTACTTCCTGGCACTCCCCCCAGGAAAAGAGCACAATTCTTCGTGCTCCCCAGTCCCTGAGACCCAGCTGACACTGTCCAGCTGAAAGCTGAGGAGAAGCTTGTCTCTTCTCAGGGACCACCCTAAGTCTCAAGTCTCCCACATGCCCCTTGCTACAGTTTTCTAAATTTGTACGTGCACAGACATTCTCCCATTCCTCCCTGAAGGCTAGGCTTTCGGAATTCAGAAGCTAAAAATGAGCTCTGCATTCTGTTGCATCCTTTGTTTCCCGAAGCAGTGAAGGCAGAGCAACCTATCTGCGTAAGGAAAGGAAGGGACACCAAGGAAAAGATGAAAAACCCATTTCCAAATGTCTTCCCCTTGGGTTTGTTTTGCTACTCACTGCTTCGGTCTTCATTCAAGCACGTGCAAAGACCAACGTGGGGGGCCCAGCTGACGACTGAGCCCCCAGGAATTCTGAGTGCTCAGGTGGGCTGATGGGTCCCCACCTCGCCCTGCCTTCCTGGAAAGAAGAGTGCAGGGTGGAAGGGTCTCTGTCATTCGGGGGAGGGGACTGCCAGGGTGGGCACACTGCTTGAAGTTCAGATCTCCCTGGGCCCATACAAGTGACAGAGCACCACCGGCTGTCAGCTGGCTGCGACACGAAGAGAGCATCCAGCTCACTGAGTTCCACCCTCAGCTGAAGGGGCCCCGAGGCAGCAGAGGTCCCTTGAGCTCCTGTCAATGTTCCAGAAAGGACCCGGAGAAACAGCACATGGTATGTGAAGGGTGACCAAGCTGGTATGCTGTCTGCTTCGGGCTGGAGTTACCCCGATCACAAGCCCTAGCAGCTGTAAAATGAGGTTATAATCAATAAAAAAGGAAGAAATGACTTGATGTAGGTTTAGAGGAGACAAAATCTTATCAGATATGAGGCTCATGAGGGAAGTTTGATGGCAAGAAGACTGGGAACCACTGACCCAATTCAACTCTGTCATCTTACAGTTTAGGAAACTGAGGCCTGGTTTCCCCAGGGGGAAGGGGAAGGGCTCTCCCCAGGTCTCATGGTGAAGTGAATGGCTGAACGTCAAGATGGCCATCATAAATAGCTACCGCTTGCTGCTGATTGTGGGCCAGGGCCTGGGCTGGGGGCTGCAGGAGGGCAGAGCCGTAGTCTGTTTGGTCCCCCTGGGTCCCTGCCATCTAGCTCAGTGCTCTGCACATAGCAGGCACACCATAAATCTTCGTGAAATGGAAGAGTCCTCTCCTTTCATCATTACAACAACTTTGGAGGTGTATATTAATAGTTTCATTTTACGGATGAGCCAACAGGCCCAGAGAGGTTACGTGACTCGCTCAAGATCGAAGAGCCAGTGACCAACACGGTGGGGATTTGAACCCAAGCCTGTATGACTCACACTCCGTGATCTTGACTACTGCATTACACTGTTCTGCTTCCCACCACTCCCGACATCACACCGATGGCAAAGATAAGCAGTGTCTCTGCTCACCTCAGTGGTGGTCCCCACCGGGTGTGGTGCTGGCATTCAGAACTTGTCATACCCGGGCCCTGGGGCTTGGCCATAAGGAGAAGCCAGAAGCCAGCAGTGAGTAGGGTTCGCTGGGTTACAGAAGCCTGTGGAAACTCCTCAGGGTTGAAGGTTTCTTCCTCTCCTTCTGTGATAGGCAGATCCGCCTATACCTCGTCAAGCAACCATCTCTGCTGTTGTGACAGGCGTCACTTTGTTATGGCAGTACCATCTGCCAGTATGCCCAAAGTTGGAGAGCCAGCAGGCAGCAGGAGAGTATGTCACCGTGTGTGTGTGTGTGTGTGTGTGTGTGTGTGTGTGTGTGTGTGTGTGAGTGAGAGAGAGAGACAGAGAGAGAGAGAGAGATGTAGCAGTCTCCTCATGTTGGTGGTGTCCTGAAATGAAATATTTTTCATTTCCTCTGGCTGGCACCTTTCATTTCTATTCATTACCTCTCCTCCCCTCTTTTTCTTCCTTCTCCTCCTCTTCTTTGTTAAAATCCTATATTTTGAAGCAACTGAAGGTCTGGGGGGGGTTGGGGGGGGATGGTGGTGTCAGCTCCAAGTGATTCATCTAGCTGATAATTAGAGCCCTGGAAAACCCAAAACTCACTCATTCCTGGCAGTCAGGGCTTCCGGAATCCCTAGGCTTTTCCCTTTGTCAGGCACAGAAGCTGGGGGGCTGTGGCCGGGCCTCTTTGTACCTGACTCAGTCCCGAACTTTACGGAAGCCCTGTAACAGAAGTGAGTGTGAGCACTCTTGCTGGCCAGGTCCCTTGAGAAGCTGTTTCCATACTCCCTGAATCTTCTCAATGATCCTGTAAGGCGTTATCCCTATTTTGACAGTCCGAGAAGGTCAAGGAACTTAACGTGGAGTCACTCAGCTTGTGGGAGATGCAGCAAGGACTCAAATCTAACCCTTTTGGAATCTGCCACACTTGGTTCAAATCACAGCCCTGCCATTATTAGCTATGCGCCTTTGGACAAGTTTCTTTCCCTCTCAGAGCTCTAGCTGCTGCATCTGTAAACAGACTCCCAACACTGATGTCTCTAAAGTGCTGTAACACAGCAGTGGGAGCTGTTTTGATTCCTGCTGTCACTTAGCCCTATCAGTTTAGTGGGCACCAGGCATTTAGAGAGACAAAGAGACGGACAGGAGAAGGCAGCCAGACTCAAGTCACATCACCTCTCATGTCCTGGCACTGCCTGTGTGGAGACGACAAATGCATATCCATGTGCACCTGGCCACACGCCCCTAAGAAAACCCAGCGGTGCACACCGGCTTGGACACATGTGCCCACACATGGATACAGAGTGCCCCAGGAGACAGCTGGAAAGACACCCAGGAGTTAAGACAGTCACATGCGGCCAGCACTCTGGCTCACACCTCTGAGACAAAGGAGTGGGGCCATGGCTGTTGGTGCTGCTGCCACTGAGCCCTTCTAGCTGCTTCTGGGTGCCAGAGGAGGGAAGCCAGGCTCTCAGAGGGCCCCAGTGAGTCACCCGCCTGATGCAATCCCTTTAAAGGGCTCATCTGCTGGTGCAAGAAGCTGATTCATGGAGGGCGTGGTTGCTGGAGGAGGAGGAGAAAGGGACCGAAACTGCAGCAGGAGGGACTGAGGCTAGATAGCTGGAATCGTTAATAGGATCTTTTCACTGTAAACCTCCCTGGTCAAGACTCCAGAGATCTTCAGGCTGAAGCAGGGTTTCTACAAAGGCGAGGGGCCCAGAGGGAAATAAATTGTGAGGGCTGAGACAGGAATTCTGTCATTTTATTGAGCCTAATTCCAGCGCTCTCCGCACAGGGCTCCAGAAAACGAGAAATGGAGATCAAGGAAGAGCCATTTCTCTGACAAATGCACTGCGCTGGCCGATCTTCCAGCTGCGGAAGACTTCTCCAAACCCAGCAGGGCGAGTGTAGGGCACTCGAGGTCCTGCGGAGTCGGGGCGGGGGCGGTGTCTGCGTCCCAGCCTCACCGCAGACGTAGATAAGCGGTAAGTACCGCCCCTTTAGAGTCTCAGTCTCCAGTCGTTTCACAGGTTTCGGCCCAGACCTCACTCTGAGCCAATCGTCAATCGGATTCCGGACTCTTGCCTGAAGGCTTCCGCCCATCTTCAAGATGGCACCCCAATCCGGAGGCCGTGAGAGCGCAGACACAGGCGAGGGGCGGGGTCCGGGGAGAGGGGTGGGGCTGCGGCTCTGGCCCGAGAGGAGGGGGCGGTGCGTCACTTCCGTTGTCAGGTGGCGGCGCCGCAGCCATGGAGGGAGGCGGCGGCGGCGGCGGTGGCGGCTCGGGTGGCTGCGCTGGGAGGCGGCGGTGAGCGGCTCCCACGCCCCCGGCCCGGCCCCGGCTCCCCGGGACGGAGCGCCGAGCAGTCCTGGCTCCGGGCTACGGACTATGGGCGAACAGCGCTGAGCACCGGGGGAAGGTGAGGGCGGGGGTCCCAGAGCGGGGAGCCGGGCGGGGGGTGGGGGTTGGCGCGGCGGGCCTCAGCGGCTGTGGCACGGGGTGACAGCCCGAGGCCGTCCCGGTGCGACAGAAATGGCAACAGTGAACGCCCTCTCCCCTTCTGGGGTCTGCCCTTCCTGGGCGGCGGGGGCGGGGACTGCTGCGCTCGGGGTACCGGGCGGCCTCGGGGAGCCTGGGTCCCGCCGTAGCTCTAGGAGGTGGGCGCTGCCAGCCTTGCCCGGAGTCATTCGGCTAGTTAGTGAGACCACCGACGTTTGAACTCAGCCAGGTCTTCCCCAGGAGACACCCTCTGCTTCTCCATGCTTCCCTCCCGATCCCGAAAGGGACTTGAAAGTTAGAACGAGTCCCCAAGGCGGGCCAGCCAGGGCTTCCTCCAGGAGTCCTCACCCGTCGCTGCTGGGGAAATTTTCGCATCGCGGGAGGCGTTCAGATGCGGGTCAGAGCTACCTGCTTGCCAGTGCTACGTTTGGCCGGCCTTTTCCAAGGAGAGAGCACGCCGCTGTGGTCAGTTTCACCTGCTGTGCCGGGTCTGGCCCGCCCATTCCCACGCGACTCGGCCACACCTTCCAGGCGGTGGGTAAGGGCTTTGGGATTTCCGATGCTACGTTCTCTGCTAACCCCCACTCCCTAGGTTTGATGCCCGTTGGCGGAAGGAAGAGATGACAGCTGCCTTCGGTGGCAGAGTAGACTTTGCTCTGTTTTAAGTCACGGGAGAAACCGGTTGGCTTTGGTTGGTTTTGAGAGCAGTGGGGAAGAAGGTAGTCACTCTGGGCTGGGCACCTTTCCCTCTTGGCTTAGTTTTGCATGAGATAAGGAAGAGCAGAATATGTCATTGTAAAGCCAAAAGAATCCTTGTTTGTAAACAGTGCTTGTGAGCTGTTCCAGCACTCCTTGCTGGCCCTGCTCTGCCAGTGGTTTGTGGAGGTTGCTCTCATTTATTCATTCATTCCCCGCATGACAACAACAGTGTCCTTGCCTAGAGAGGCAAGTACCCTATGGTATAGTGGTGAAGAGTGGGCTTTGGAGCCAGACTTCCTGAGTTCAAATTCTGGCCCTGCAGCTTCTAAACGTGTGTCAGTAGGCATGTGGTATAAGCTGTCTGTGCCTCAGTGACCTCATCTGTAAAATGGGTGATTACCTAGCGCTGTTGTGAAGATTTGAAAAGTTAACACATGTAGGGGCGCTTGGCTGGTTCAGTTGGTGGAGGGTGTGACGCTTGATCTCGGGATCGGGAGTTCAGGCCCCACGTTCAGTGTAGAGATTACTTAAAAATAAAATCTTTAAAAAAATTGGGGCACCTGGGTGGCTCAGTCGGTTAAGCGTCCGACTTCAGCTCAGGTCATGATCTCTCAGTTTGTGGGTTCAAGCCCCACGTCGAGCTCTGTGCTGACAGCTCGAGCCTGGAACCTGTTTCAGATTCTGTGCCTCCCTCTCTCTCTCTCTGCCCCTCCCCCACTCACACATTTTCTCTCTCTCTCTCTCTCTCTCTCTCTCTCTGAAAAATGAATAAACCTTAAAAAAAACTTTAAAAAAATTAACACATGTAAAACACACAGAACCATATCTGCCACATGATACATGTTACCTATTATTCTTATTTCAAGAAGCTCATGGTCTGGGTAAGGGAGACTGATCTGTAAACAAGTAGTTAAAATAGGTCTAAAAAAGCTAGTAGCAGCGGGCACAGGGCTGTAGGAGCCCACAAAGATCCTGGGAAGACTTGGCAGAAGTGATGACCCTGGAGCTGTGTCTAGAAGGATGGAGGGCTTAATCAGTGAGAATGAAGGGGTAAGGTGTTCTACTTAGAGAAAGACAAAGGCACGCATAGTTTGGGGTTTTCCTAAATAAAAGCTTTAATTTACTTATTCATTTAAGTAATCTCTACACCCAACGTGGGGTTCAAAGTCACGACCCCGAGATCAAGAGTCACATGCTCTTCAGACCGAGCCAGCCAGGAGCACCTGAGTACACGCATAGTTTACTCCAGAAACCTCAGATTGTTCAGTATGGTGGTATGAAAGTTGACATGGTGCAAAGTAAGGCAGTACAGGCTGACAAGGGAACGCCACGGTAACAAGTTAGGACTTTATGCCAAGGGCAGTGAAAAGGTTTCTAAGCAGAGGAGTGACATGATTGGATCTGTGTTTTAGAGTGATCTCTCTGGAGTTGGTTCCAGCTGAGGAGGGGAGAGCCAGGACTGGAGTCATCTTTAGAGGCCCCTGCAGGCCTCTGAGTAGGAAGAGTTGGTGCCAGGGTGGGGGATCTGCTGAGAAAGCCCTGGATGCCATGGGTGGCAGGTGGCAGGCTCCCTGCCTTGCTCTGAGCTTCTCTGCCCGGCACAGAAGTACCTGGTGCATGTGTCCCTCTCGTCCTAGGATTGCAGGTCACACGAGCACCGCCTTCTCCAAAGGCCTGTGGCCGGGGGTGCTGCGCTTGCTCCCTTGTGCCTTTCGTTTGACCTGGGAAGGCAGCAGACTGTGGGCATTAAGAACCTATTTGGCTCTGTGGTAAGACAGATCTGAGTTCCAATCCCAGCCCTGCTGGTCGCTAGAGGTTACTTATTCTCTCCATGGCCAGCCTTCTCATCTATAAAGTGGAGACAGTAAGGCCCCTCCCTAGGAGGGCAGTTGTGAGGATTAAGTAAGACGTTGCAGGTCGAACACTTAGCACACACTGAGAAATACTTGGTAAGTGTTATTACAGACTGCAGGAAAGAACTTCCAAGAATTAGTGGGAGCAATTAGTCGCAACTGGAACTGCGTCCCTTGGAGCTGTCAGGAGCTGTCAGAAGTGTCCTGAGGGATCACAAGATCACAGAATTTCATTGTATTCTTTCTGAAAAGGAAATCTGTGGGGAGTTTACCCAGTCTTTATGGGAGCCGTGCGGATGATTCAGCTCAGCTCTTTAAGAGAACCATTTTGGGGGACACCTGGGTGGTTCAGTCTGTTAGGCATCTGACCTCGGCTCAGGTCATGATCTCATGGTCCATGAGTTCAAGCCCCACATTGGGTTCTGTGCTGACAGCTCAGAGCCTGGAGCCTGCTTAGGATTCTGTGTCTCCCTCTCTCTCTCTCTCTGCCCCTCCCCTGCTCATGCTCTGTCTCTCAAAAATAAATAAATGTCAAAAAAAATGTTTAAGAACCATTGTTTTTAAAAATAGAAGAGTACTTGAGAAAAAATTGTATTTTAAAGTATTCATGACAGAAAAGATGTTTAGAGGTTCTTCCGTGTGTCCCTATTAGATACCCTTGTCTGGTATCTGAATTAGTATCACCAAGAAGCATCACACACATTGATGTATGTAGTGGCTCAAAATCCAGGGCTCCATATGTGGCTGGGGTGTGCTGGGTGCCAGGGGCAGAAGGAGAATAGAGAGGTAGCCCCTGCCCTGGAGGAGCTTGTGGTCTAGCAGGGGCCTAACCAATGAACACTCGCATAGTTTGGCAAGTCTTTCCCAGAAGTCTTGTAGCATGTAATGGGAACCAGGAGGAAAGAGCAGTTCCACTGGGGGATGTGGAGGAGACTGGGGAGAGCTTTGGAAAGGCCTCAGAGTTTAGCTCCCAAATGGCGAGTAGAGTTTTCCAAGGGCTCACAAGGCACCCCAAAGGGGGGAACAGCGTGGCACAGGCCTGGATGCATGCTGGTGTATGTGCATCTTTAGCAACCACAAGAGGTTCTAGCACAGGGTGTGAAGGGACCTGGCTGTAGGATGTGCTGGAGAGGTAGGTACCAGTCTAAGATGCTTGAACTTCTCAAGATCTTGTGATGGAACGCTTTGTTTTATGTGGAGGGAACACCATTAGGCCTGCATCTTCCCAAGAGCCCTCTAGCTGCGGGTGGAGGGTAGACTGGGAAGAGAGTGGATCTGGAGTCCAGGAGGAGGCTGTTGTAATGGTCAGAGCAAGCCCTTGTGTGGGCCTGGATCAGGGCAGAGGCATTTGGGATGGAGAGGAAGGGCAGAGGTCAGAGCTGTTTGAGGAGAAATCAGTAGAACTCTAGGAATATTCGGAAGGGATGGTTGAGGGAGGAGCAGTGGTGGCAGGTGACCCACAAGTTCCTGGTTTGGGTGACATAGTGAATGGTAGTGCAGAGGCTTGGGAGAAGACAGTGGCCAGTGAAATCTGCCCGCTCCCTTCAATAAGATCCGAGTGCATCTCACAGGACAGCATCAGTTGTAAAGTCTGTGGCACCCTGTCCAGCTTGGGGCCAGGCTTCCCTGTGGTTACGCCTGAGTCAGCACCTGGGAGAAGGGCAGCTCCCCTCCCTTCACCTTTCCTCTGCCCAGATTTGCCCAGGGAGGTGACCTTGTGCAGTATTTCAGAAACTCAACTGGCTGAGTCTGCAAAACTTGTGTAATTTCTCCAGCCTTCAGGTGGCCCTGCAGAGCAGCTCTTTACTCTGCGCCATCCACACTGCTTCAGCTGATGGGGTCCTGGTCAGCAGCATACCTCTAGGTTGTATATGGCTTTCCCATTGTTTCCTGGAGATCTTATCTGGAAAGAGATCTTGAGATTGGATTTACTCCCTAGGCTGGGTTAGCAGACTCTGTCCCTCTTCTCAAGAAGGAGAGGTGTCTGCCCGAGGCCACCTAGGACTCAGAGCCACCAGAGAGATGAGAGGAAGTTGCCCTGGTGCCCTTGTCTCCGAGCTCTATGGGAGTGCAGAGCTAGACCAGAATCGATTGTGCTGTGCAGAGAGTGTGCTGGGGGACAACAATTCAGACAGGCCCTTCGGAATGGGGGAGATTTTCACAAGATTTGTCCTTGGGTTTGTGGGGTAAAGAAGGTAGAAGAGAAAGTGGCCTGAAACGAGAGCATTTCTTCCTCTCCCACCTGCTCAGGTGACACTGTGGCCTTGCAGCAGGTGGCCCAGGGCCCACAGCAGCCCTGCGTATCCTCTCAGGATCTGTAAGACCCATGAGAGAAAAGGATGGTATTGTTTGTTTTTATTTATACTGT